TTTTTTTAGAAGGACCTGTATATCATACACACCTGGACATTTAGTAAACTTTTAGTTGAGTGTGTGTATCTGTGTGACTTTGAGCTCGCATGTCCTGGTGCGTGATGAGCACTCGCGTGAAGATGGTTAAAACATGTGGCCTTTAGCTGCTGCTGCTGCTTCTGCACTTTTAGACATTTGAGCCACCACTCTGCTAGAGTTTCACTTTGCTAAACACATGCACGCACGTACATACTGTATATACAAGGTCGTGTTTCCTTGACTTCAGATGACACTATATTGACTTGTATTCATTTTCAGGAGACTTACTCTAACCCAAACCATAACTTATGTGATGTAATCCAAACTTTAGAGTAAGTTAAATATGTTAAACCTCACCATAAAGTAACAGATATATTGTTCCCTTCAACATGAGGAACACATCACACACACACACGCACACTTTATTAGTCAGGGAAACGTGTTCAGGCTAATATTAGATTAAGAGAACAGAGAAAGGTCATCAGTTTTTTGCGTCTTCATTTACTAAAACCAAGAAGCGACCCTCCACACTCTCAGCCGTCTCACTCTGTCTCTCTTCTGTTTATAGACCCGGGACAAGAAATGCTGAGGTAAGACATTCACAGATTTTTTTTTTTAATGCATTTGCATGCGTGACACAGAGCTGGACAACATTTCAAGGGACTTCCTGACGTTTACACAGTATTTAAATCTTTAAGTCTCCTGATTTTCAGTTGGTTATTTTTATTATTCAACGGTATTTTGTATAATGTTGTACTGAAGCTCGACAGATATTGTTTGGGAATGTGTCTACAGTGTGCAGTTCTGGATGTTTTGAGACCCAAGTCTGACGGAGGGAATTTACAGCCTTCATGTTCCTCAAGTGAGTTTAAACACATCAGTAGCAGTGTAATTATTTTATATTTGTAGTTATCAGGATGAGGCATACAAAACCTTTGTGGTGAATAAAATATTCATAAGAAAAATGTTAAAGTTTGAATTAGTTTGTCATTGCAGTTTGTGCTGCTGCTTGCTGTGCATGTGTCTCGTTTTTAAAATCTCGGGTTTGGACTTATGCTCATCATACTAATAATATTTATGATATTGATATGTAGCTGTGCGTAGACATGGACACACATTGTATTTAAGATGCAAGCAACTTGCAGTGTTGTAATCTGTGAGTCTAATTGTGCTTAAAGCTTGTGTTTGAAGAGCTTTCTTTAAATGTGACAGCAGCAGTTCTTGCTACAGTAGAAGTCAGTGTAATCAGTGTAAAGTATTAACGCATATTTTAGTAAAATTGATCAATTTGCCTTGTTTTGCTCATTTCTCTAGCCCTTCAGGTTGAAGGAGGGATGGAGCAGAGAGTTGAAGACTCATCTTGTTCTGTCAGACACTCCAGTAATTTGCTTGAAAAGCTCAATTCCTCTGAAAAGAAGAGGGAAGACCCCAGTGGAGAATTGGAGGGAAAGGCCATTTTCTATGAATCAAAGCTGACAGAAAAACAAGACCATGGCAGAGAGGTGGAAGAAGGGGTAGAATGCACCACTTCAGTCATAGGAAACGGGCTGCACCCCTCTACAGCTGGAGAAATGGATCAGTCCAATCCTGCAGAGCAGCAGGGAGAAGATTTAGGTCCAGCACAGGAAAAGGAAGCAAAGGGTGAGGAAGCCAAGAGTGATATAGAGGAGGCAGAGGAGGCGATGGAAGATGAGGGAGCAGAAGATGAAGAGGAGGAGAAGCAGATGGGAGAAGATTCTTATGTCTGTCTGAAAGCTCTCTCAGTGGAGACTCTGGTCATCGGGGCAGAGTTGGTGGAACAACAGCTGCAGGCAGAGGATTTAACTCCGGAGAGGCTACATGCGGAGAGCCAGCAGTGCCGAAACACCGAGGTACCTACTAAATCTTTGGACTGTGTCTGGCCATTACACATTGGAGAAACATTTCAAAACGTCGAGGGCTTTCAGGTTTTTACAGACGTATGAGTTTTATGTCTTGGGACTGATTCAGTAGGGTCACTTGCGTTTACCAGTGTTGGTGTCATTTTTATGTAAAGAGTTTATATTGCTTTGCATGCTTATGTTAACAAATAAGTTGTTCTGTTTTTTTTTAATGTCCCATTTGCTGGAAATGCAACATGTCCTTCCTAGCATAATTTCTCATCTGAACAGTGTTTACATGTATGTATGAGATTTAAATACTTATTTCAGATCAGTGTTATAGCAGTGCAGTCAGCAAAAGGAGTTATCTCAACTATTTTATGGTGACGCAAACTAAATGCTATAAATGCTATAAATGTTTTCTCCCTTATCACTGGAGCAGAGCTCTACAACCTGGCTACATGAGGAGACACTCCCTCCTGAAGAGGCTCATCCGAGGCGGCAGGAACAGCGTGCAGAGGAGGAAGAGGACTATGAATTTGACCAAGCTGACCTCTTCAGAGAAGCTCCGGCACTCGACTACATGGCAAAACTCATCACAGTTGAGGAGGTGTGTACGTCCGATAAATATGTTTATTTTGAAAGTGTTTCCCGTAATGGATTCAGTTTAAAGGCCTAGCTATTGCCTGCTGCCTTTCATGGCAGTTTTACTCAGTTTCATGAGTTTTAAACCAAGATCATCTCATGTTGAGAAATGACAGTGATATCTGTTTTGGTCGAACCGTAAAAATCTCACGGAGATGTCACGCTCGGAGTACCTGTTGTAAATCACCCTCAGCTACTACCACACCAAGTTTTAGCTCCATAACAGTAGAAAAGACTGAATTAAAGCCTTTTTTTGCTTGTTTTCTAAAGTCAGTTGACTGTGGCAGCTATCCTCAATTTGGTTGGCTCCAAAAAGTTAATTACCGGTAGTTATAGATTTATATTCATTGATCACTTTCTGACAGTTTCATTAAAGTGTGTGTCCAGTGGTTCGTGAGATATTTTACTTATAGACAAACATACAAACACAAAGATGCAGGCAACATGGTTATCATTCATCTTTTGCCAGTGGGAGAAAAACTTTTGTCAAGCTCTTTCTTAAATCTGCTCTTCGGTCATGTTTTAAGGGTTCTGTCTGCATCTCCACACATCTTGCTGTTTTATGCAACGGTTTTGTCAAAACAGACTTATTGGCATAACCTAACCGTTGTAATTTTATAAGAATTTGCGTGGCGAATCTAAAAACTTAGACTATTAACTCTTTCATTTTAAAGGTTATAAAATATCGTACAAGGAACTAAATAATGTTTAAAGAATACATATTGTAGTAAATGAAAGGTGAAGGTCATTTTAGCTTTTTGTTTTGTGTCTCTGCAGTCGGTCTTCAACTGTAACATATTATTTGGAAGTACTGTAGTAGTTATTTTAGTGTGTTTTTACATTTATAAAACAGTATACAATCAGTGCACCCTAAATCTGCACATCTTATATGTAATAATAAAATTAGTAGGGGTAAAGATATTTGAGAAGCTTTTCTTTGAACATTTTTACTCTCATTTGGACCGTAATCACAAACTATTGAATGATGTCATTATTTCTGCACAGTATAACACGAGTCAGGTTTAATGTGATGAGCTGGCACGACTTGGCCAAAGTTCATCCGTCGTTGAAGTTCGCTCATCTTGTCAACAGGCCAGAGACTGCTTTAATCCTACTGGATATCTTCAGTCACAGCATTACAGTATGCAGTACCAGTATTTGGAAATATCTGATAGTAAATATATTGAAGTATTGATAAAGGGAAAGGAAGGGAAGTCTGAAATAGTCATCATTGTATGTTCCCAGACAATGGTGAAATTATCTGCATTTAACCCATCACACCTGGGATGCACCCAGGTGGAGCAGTGGGCAGCTTTGTAAGCACATGGGGAGCAGTTAGGGATTGGATGTCTTGCTCAGAGACACCACGACGTGTGGGAATGGCTGGGAGTCGAACCGCGGCTTTCTGGTCCCAAGTCAGCTGCCCTACCTCTATCCCATCTCGGCCCCAAAGACTGTGTGGCAGCGGTGGGATAGAGCAAGCCCGAGTTCAGCACTGGTGATTATGTCTTGTGCTGCCACCTCACACATCCAGTGAACTGCTGAGAGATGGACAGACATTGTTTTTTGTGTGAAAATGAACAATTCAAACAAGCTTTTATTTTTTTTTTTAACAGGAATTGTCTATAACAGTGCTTGTGTTTGTGCTGCTTAACACTTTTTTTTTTAAGTTTAATTTGTTTTGCTTCCCAGATCACCCCTGCCTCTGGTCTTGTTTCCATACTGAAAAAGCAGGATGTTTATGTGGACAAAGTTAGTTCAGTGCCTAAACCTGAAAAACCCACTGCCAAAAGACGTGTGCGCTTCAAAGTTCCTGATGACAGCTACGACCCTGGTATGTTTGTGAGTTTATTTCCTGATTTATAAACCAATATAAACTTATAATTAATGAAATTCCATCATTAGACAAGTTACACGGTCAGTAACTGGGACCCTGTGTACACAATTTCGTTCCACCTCATGTACCACATGTGATGAAATGATAATAAAACCTACTTGAACTTGAACTTGGAAAGAAAACGAGTCGTTGCATTACTGCTTACAAATCCAATTAATCATAATTGTGTAAATGATTTTGACGAGTAATCATGGTCGGCAGCTGAAAAACAGTGACATTCAAAAATCACAACAGATTTCCATCTTTTTCAACGTTTACATTAGTTTGCTCTTCTGATCTTCTCCACTCTGATTCCTTGTATCTTTTGTTTCTGCAGACGTTGGCAGTGGAGACTCCTGTCTGCTTCTCTTCCTTCTTTGTCTGGTTACTGTAGTGATCAGTATTGGTGGCACTGCCCTTTATTGTGCATTTGGTGATGCCCAGTCCTCAGTCTGCCAGGACTTCTCTAAAAACGCAGACTTCTACATGGACCAGATACATCGTGGGATCTCTCAGCTCCAACACTGGTTTGCTCCTGGCTCATAGCAGAAAACCATTGTCATCATTTTGGAGCCACTGACGGGTAGATTCCTTTGGTT